AGTGGCCATGCCCAAAGGCTCCGCCTGTGGAGGCCGTCACTCGGGGGGTTTCTATACTCAGGGATCCCTCTGGGTGGATGGCAGCCCCTCTGCCAGGACAGGGAGTGGTGTGGACCCCAGAGAGGCCCCACAGGTGGCCTGATTGAGCACAGGCGTGTGTGGCAAAGCGGCACAAGGGGCCGTCTCGGGAGCTTCTGGAGCGGCAGGGGGAGAGAGGGTCTGGTCGTTAGCAGGGAGGCTTGGTGGCTGGGGACAGAGTTGGGAGCGAGGCTGGCAACCTGCTCCCCTTTCTGGCCCGGCCCTGCCCTCTGGGTCTCCTTTCCCCTGGCCAGCCCCCTACTCTTTCCTGGCACCTGCAGATGCTTCAGATGCCAAAGCCAGGGAGCGGCGGAAGAGCGGGCCTCTGCCCACGTCCTCAAAGGAGGCCTCGGAAGCCAAAGATCCCAGGTAACCCACTGGAGGGCAGGTGCACACCTCCCACCCCCGAGGCCCCACTCGCTGGGCAGATGAGGGTGCTGATTTCCGTGTGCCCAGGGAACTGAGGCCATAGGAGCATAGTGGCCCTTTCAGCTCCATGGAAGGTGCTCCCTGCAGGAAGCTGTGCCTGGCTGGTTGGCCTCTTGCTGGACACTTCCCTTCCAAAGCTCCTCTGGACACTGTCTTTTCAGCCCCTACCAACTGAGAGGCGAGGCTGTGTCCACCTAGCTGTACACCCTGAGTGGACCTGTGGGAGTCAGGACCCCGGCTCCAGGCCCCTGTCCTGGGTCTGGTTGTCGCTGGCCAGCATTCCTCCACCCTGGCCCCCCTCCCTGTGGGTGCCTCAGCAGTGCAGGCTCTGGGGCATCGAGACCTCACTGCCCCTACCACTCCAGGGAGGGTGGTCATGGAGACTGGGGTGCTCATGGGGAGAGGCTGCTCTGCCCTTGACCCCACTGGGCAGCAGTGGCCAGGGGCCAGGAGAGGTTGAGCTGAGTTCCTGGTATGGCTGTGTGGAGCCAGGGCTCATCCGCCCACCTGCACGTGTTGTTTGTCCTCCAGGAAGCCGCCTCCTTCCACAGACTTCCGTGGGGGTCATGGGGCCACGAGATGCAGGGGTGTGAGGGGAGGGCTGGGTGGACACTGCCTGGCAGTCAGGCAGCCTGTGGGGGGTGCCCAGCCCTGTGAGGGGCATCTGTGCTGGGTGGGGTCACCTGGGCACGGTACCTAGTCTCGGGCAGTGCCAAATCCCCTCTGCCTTGCCCTGTCCTGGCAGCTGGTGCTGGGTGATGCAGCCCCATGTCTAGCTGGGCTGGGTCATGGGCTGCTGTCAGGTCGGGGCAGATGGGCGGGCCTGTCTCTCTCCAGCCGCAAGAGGCCGGAGCTGCCCAGGACGCCGTCAACCCCCAGGATCACCACGTTCCCCCCGGTGCCTGTCACCTGCGACGCTGTGCGCAACAAGTGTCGCGAGATGCTGACGGCCGCCCTGCAAACGGACCGTGAGTGCTGCAGCCCGGCCGCCCTGCAGGCCGGGGGTCCTGGGCACTGACACATGCCTGGGTTCCCAGGGGGCCTGGGCCCTGCCTGCCCGCAGAGGCCTGAGTCTAGAGGGTCCTCAGGGATGGCCCTCTCCCCCCACCCATCGCTGCTGACCCTGGGTGGGGGCACCAGAGCGCCTGGATCCTGGGGTCTGGCTGCCGGGGGCTGGGCAGGCTGAGAGGTGGCGGATGGAACCAGTGGGGTGGCTAGCCCTCTTGCCCCTTGCAGATGACCACATGGCCATCGGTGCAGACTGTGAGCGCCTCTCGGCCCAGATTGAGGAATATATCCTTTGTGAGGGACTGGGGGTGTCTGGGGGAGTCAGGAGGCCAGCCAGGCCAAACTCCCCCTGGTGACCATTGCCCTGGCGCCCTCTCCAGGCGGTCGGGTGGGCTCCCCCCTCTTGACGAGAGGACCCTCCCTGGACCCGCTGAGGGGCTGAGTCTGCCTGCTGTGGTCCTTGGGTGCCCAGGGCCTCGAGCCTGCGGCTGGGTCCAGCGGGGCTCCTCCCGGCAGCCCCTCAGCACGCCGCCAGGCCTGGCCCACACCCCCGACAGGGCCCCATGAGGGGGCCGTCGCTGGCCCGGTGGGCGGGTGGAGGGTGGCAGCCTCGGCCTCCGATGGGTCCTTAAAGGTCCGCACGCATCTTCGGGGACGTGGGGAACACGGACATGAAGTACAAGAACCGTGTGCGCAGCCGCATCTCCAACCTCAAGGACGCCAAGAACCCCGACCTGCGGCGGAACGTGCTGTGCGGGGCCATCTCGCCCCAGCAGATCGCCGTGATGACCTCGGAGGTGAGCCCGGGGCGGGGAGGGCTGCCCCCTGGGGCGCGGGCTGAGCACTCGGCCCCTTGCCCCAGGAGATGGCCAGCGACGAGCTGAAGGAGATCCGCAAGGCCATGACCAAGGAGGCCATCCGCGAGCACCAGATGGCGCGCACGGGCGGCACGCAGACTGACCTGTTCACCTGCGGGAAGTGCAGGAAGAAGAACTGCACCTACACGCAGGTGGGCGGGGCCACACCCTCTCGGGGCCCCGCGTCTTGGGGCTCGGGCGCCCACACTTGCCCCCACACGTGTGGGCCTGGGTCCAGCATCACACCTGGACACAGGCGGTGTGAATGGTGCCAGGGTTGGGGTCCCAGTGTGAGTCCCTGCTGGGGTCACCTTTGCGACCTCCCCCTCCCCAGGCCTCCTGGGCCCCCATGAGCAGCGTCTCGGGTGGTGGGTCCTGCTTGCTCTGGGGCACTAACGTTGGGGGTCACGGCCCCCCCAGTGTGGAGGGGCCCCCAGGAGTGTTGCTGCTGGTGGGAGGGTGGGTGTGCTGCAGTGGTGGCCGCAGGGCTACACTCAGAACCATGGAGGTGGACACCGATGTGGACCCCAAGAGATGTCGGGGCCCCCGGTAAGAGGAGACTGGTCTGGGCGGCTGGAAGGTTGGGAGCCCCGGAGCTGCGAGGCCAGCGCTTGCCGAGGCACTGGTGGCCCCCCAGGTTGTGACTCCAGGAAGACCTGCTGTCCGGGGCCTCCTGCTCCAAGGGACTGCGCCCTGGGGCTGGCCCTCTGAGCACGGCCCTCCCCACAGGTGCAGACCCGCAGCTCTGATGAGCCCATGACCACCTTTGTCGTCTGCAACGAGTGTGGAAACCGCTGGAAGGTAGGCGGGCCAGCCAGGCCACCCCAGCCCCGTCCTCCAGAGGCGGGTATTTCCAGCCTGGGTGGGGTCAGTGTGGTGTGTACTGGGGAACAGCCATGCCAGCCAGCCTCCTGGGAGCTTCAGAGATGGTGGGTGGAGACCACCAGCCCTGCTTCTCGCCCTGTGGGTCACATGGGCTGCGCGCCTGTCCCTCTCACCGGGTCTCTTGCAGTTCTGCTGAGCCCTTGTGCACGTGTGCCTGCAGCCCTGGGCCATGGCCTTCCCACGTCCTGTCAGCAGACACAGCTTCTCTGGAGATATGCCCTGGACCCCCTGGCCCTCCCCAGGAGGCAGCGCGTCCTGCCTCCACCCTGCCTGTAGTGCACTTTTCTCCTTCTTCTTCCCAAATTATTAAATGTTTCTTTTTGCCACTGTGCTGTTCCTGGCTCTTGGTGCTGGTGGGCCGTACACAGGCTTGGGCTGCGAGCTGGGTCCCCCACCCCCTACGTCTGGTCTGAACCCCCACTGCCGCCAAGGACAACCCTCCTCCCTGGGGTCAGGTGACGCTTGGGTTTGGCCCTGGCGGGAAGAGCCTGCTGGCCTTCAGTGCAGACCATGTGATTCCAGGATGCTGGGTGGGCCCCACCTTTGTGCCCCGCAGATGAGGGGCAGGTGGTTGACGTGCTGGGCATAGGTGTGTGGGTGGTCGTGTGCAGGCATAATTGGGCGGGAGGAGCCTTGGGCACACAGGGGACCCTCCCCGGGCCCCGCAGCTGAGGGCCCAGGGCTTACATGCCTGTCCATGACCCTTCCGGACGGCTCATCCTCACCCTGCCTCTGCTCGTGGACCCTGGACCAGAGCCTCAGGGCCCTGGGCCAGGTGCAGCTTGGAATCGCTTCACCTTTGAGGGAACTGAGTGGCAAGCACGTGCCTTGTGGGGCCTGCAAGATGGTGGTGACACTGCCTGGCACCCAGGAGTCCTCAGGGAGGTCAGCTCCATCAGTGTCCTGCCCCAGCCGGCCAGCCTCTGGGGACGACCCTCAATACATGCCAGGGACCCCTACCACCCAGGGCCCAGGTGGTGCTTCTCACTGCATCATGGGCTTTGGTGAGGTGCTGTGGGGCCACACTGCCCAGGTCACGGCGCCCTCGCCCGGGCAGGCTGAGCACAGCTGCCCACTGGGGCTGCTGCTCTGAGGAGGGGTGGAGGTGGTCAGAGCACACAGAGGGCGAGGTTCCCTCACAGAGCTGGCCGCTCCCCTGCCCTGGGCCTGGGCCAAGTCCTCTCTCTCATCATCTCCCTCCAAACGTGGGAAGAGGAGAGACTTCTGCTTTAAAAACGTCTTCAATAATAAGACATCCTGTTTTGGGGGGAGGAGAACTGGAGATAAATATGAAAACTTTTTTTTGATAAAACACTCAGTGAGGACATGTTTCCAGGTTTAAAGTTAATGCATGTGTAAGAGAGAAGCCGGGTCCTGTTGCCTTGAGCCTGGTTTTGAGGTTCTGGGCCTGGTTCCGGGTGTGGACGGCTCAAGCAGGGAGGCCTCCTCCCACCACGGAGTAGACGGTGCAGAGGCTCCATTCTCCAGCACGGCTGCCAGGGAGGAGGCCCAGGGGAGGCTGCTGGGCCCCAGACGCCCCTGGGAGGGTCCTTCTCGCTGTGCAGAGCACAGGGCTGGCCGGCGGGGGGCTGGGGCAGGAGGGGCTCTCACCCCTGCCTCTCAGCAAGACCTTGGGGCACTAGGTCCCCTGGGCAGGATGGGGCTTCTGGCTCAGCCTGCACCTGAAGGTCCTGCCTGGGACTGCCCCAGGGGTGCCGGCCCTGTGCGTGTGCCCCCCACTTGTGGGCACACACACTTGCGAAGGCAATCTGAGTCTCTGCCCACGGGAGGGGTCGTGTGTCTGTGCTGCCTCAGTGCGGCCTAGGCCTCGTTGGAGGACTGGGAGCCCCCCCGGAGCAGCAGGGTGCGGTAGGTGGGGGAGCTGAGGAAGCGGGGGTAGGAGTCCCGGTGCATGAGTGTGTAAATCTGCAGCTGCGCGTCGTCGAATGTGTGTGCAGATGGCTCCTGCATCTTCTTGTTGATGCCCTCCCGTACCCGGGAGTCCAGGCTCACCTGTGGGGCAGGGCACCATGGTCAGGGTCTGGGAGGCGCCCCCCACCCCGCCCGCAGTCCCTGCCATCCCATGTGGTGCACCTCCTTGGGGGACAGGATGGACACGTAGTCCTCGTAGATGAGCCGCGCCTTCTCGTCCACCACGTGCTGGTTGGCCTCAGCCTTGAGCTCCTCACAGGCCAGCCAGAAGAGCATGTTCTCCTCACTGTACTCTGTGCGCAAGAACTCCCGAAACACACTGCGGCCTGCCGCGCTGTGCATCAGCTTGTCGAAGGACTGCGCCCAGCTCCGCACCTCCTCGGGGCTTGGCGTCGCGCTGTGGGCATTCGCCGCCAGGCCAGGTCAGGCTTGAGTCCCCTCCGCCCAGACCCCCCAGCACACGCACGTGCACGCACATGGCCCAAACTCACCACGCCTCACAGCTGGGGAGGGGCCGCAGCTTGCTCTCCCGGGAGGCACGCCACGCTCGCCGCCGCTCCTCATTCCTGACGGCAGAGAGGAAGAGGGCACTGTGCTTCTCGGCCACGCAGACAGGCAGGTGTGCGCACCCGGTGAACACTGACGGGTGTCAACAGGAGGCCTAGGGGCTCTCAGACACGTGTGAACCCGCCGCAGGCAGGCAGCTCCTGGGAGTGTCTGTGCCTGCTGTCCACTGCCCCTGGGCCGAGGCCGCTTCAGGAGCAGTGTGACCCGGGGACCTCTACTGTCTTGTTGCCTTTGGGACTTGACAGGCCCCCGTCCCCTTCTCCCAGAGGCCCTGAGGGATGCAGTGGGAAAGCCCCGGGCTGCGTGTCTGACCCCTGACTCTCCCTAGGGGACCTCTTCCCTCCCTTGGCTCCTAGCACTGCTTCAGTGCTGGCTCCCAAATCCATACCTGCAGTTGGCCCTCGCCAGGGCCACCAGGAGATACCCCAACAGACACCTCAAATCCAAAGGCCCAGATGGAACTGAGTTCCCACCCTACCCCCGCCTGCCAGACTCCAACCCATTCCTTGGCCCCTACAGCCAAACTCGAAGTCCTGGCTATCCCTGGCCTGCCACCTCGACCCCCAGGGCCCCACTGCCGTCTTGGGCCTGGGCTCAGGCCTCAGCTACTCGCTGGTCAGCTGACCCCACTTTGGGTCCCCACAGTGCTGTCCACCCCATAGCCAAGGGCCAGAGCCTGAATAGGACCAGGTCTCTGCAAGGCACGAAAACTCCAACAGCTTCCCTGCACGCCTGGAAAACTGGTACCACCTGGAGGCCCACACCCGCCCTCCGGCACACTGCTCTGGAAGGCGGTCCCCATCGTCCCAGGGCCCGGTCTCTGCTCAAGGCCCCGTCACTGACAGTCTGTAGGATCCGCTTCTGTCTTGCTGCACTGTAGGTCCCCAGGGCCAGCCTGGGCCGGCTCACAGTGGTGTCAGTAAGCATGTGCTGAGTAAACGGACAACGAGTGTGCACGCGCGTGCACACACAGAGTGGCCAGGTGTCTGCACATGGACACACTCTTGGGCACACCAGGCACAAAAGACACACACAGAGGGACCTGTGCACTGGCCACTGGTCACCAGGGCCCAACAGCCCCCCTGGACAAGTGCTGAGAGTGGCAGGGGTGTCCTGCCTGCAGGTGCCACCTCAGAAGCCAGCTGAGTCTGGGGAGCGGGACCCCGGTCCCAGGTCTGCTGGCCCGCCCCGCCCGCCCGCGCACCCTGCACCCCCAGGCCTCACGTACCAGGAGCAGCTGCAGCAGCAGCACCAGCACAGGCAGCAGGGGCTGCGGCTGGCGGCAGCCGGGGGGGCCACATCATGACTGGACATTGAGGGGGGCTGGTCTGCCTCCTCTGGCCCTGTGAGCTGGGGGAAGATGGGGCCTGCCTCAGGCTCCAGGCCAGAACCCACGGGCACACACACCTCTCTCCCACTGCCTGCCTGCTCGTGGCCACACTCCCAGGGGCATGACTCTTCCGGCCTCCCAGATGTTCAGGGGTCTCCTAACGCCCTGTGGCCCCCCAGTTCCCCAGGGAGCAGAGGCAAGGGTGGAGGAGGCGCACCTGCTTCTCAGCCTCATGCGGGGTGGGCATGGGTGGGTGGACCAGGTCACCCGGGCTCTGTGGTGCTGGCTCCGGGACCCTCACCACAGCCTGGGAGTCTGAGGAGAGAAGGTGAGGTTCTCGCTGAGACCTGCCTGCCTCTTGGGAGGGGTCCCGAGAGCCTCTCCCTCCTTCCCGGAGCCCCGGTGGGGCCTGCTCCCCTGCCTCCCACCCCACCCCACCCTGCACCATGGCTGTGAATGGGTGAAGCTCAGTGAGGAGGGACCCCAGATAAGATCCCCCACAGGAGGTTCTGGGACACCCCCATCTGCTCGTCCCTGGGAAGCCGGAAGCCTGGGTTCCTCTTTCTTGGCTTCCGGCTCCTGGCCCCTCCCAAGGGTCTGGGGGCCCCCCAAATCTGGGGCTATCAAGTTGGTACGTAGGGGTGGTGGTTAGACATTCAGGACCCCCCCC